GACCCACTCCAATTTGCATACCGCCCCAACAGATCCACAGATGATGCAATCTCTATTGCACTCCACACTGCCCTTTCCCACCTGGACAAGAGGAACACCTACGTGAGAATGCTATTCATTGACTACAGCTCAGCATTTAACACCATAGTGCCCTCAAAGCTCATCACTAAGCTAAGGATCCTGGGACTAAACACCTCCCTCTGCAACTGGATCCTGGTCTTCCTGACGGGCCGCCCCCAGGTGGTAAGGGTAGGTAACAACACATCTGGCACGCTGATCCTCAACACGGGGGCCCCTCAGGGGTGCGTGCTCAGTCCCCTCCTGTACTCCCTGTTCACCCATGACTGCATGGCCAGGCACGACTCCAACACCATCATTAAGTTTGCCGACGACACAACAGTGGTAGGCCTGATCACCGACAACGATGAGGCAGCCTATAGGGAGGAGGTCAGAGACCTGGCCGTGTGGTGCCAGGATAACAACCTCTCCCTCAATGTGACCAAGACAAAGGAGATGATTGTGGACTACAGGGAAAAAAATAGGACTGAGCACACCCCCATTCTCATCGACGGGGCTGTAGTGGAACAGGTTGAGAGCTTCAAGTTCCTTGGTGTCCACATCACCAACGAACTATCATGGTCCAAACACACCAAGACAGTCGTGAAGAGGGCACGACAAAGCCTATTCCCCCCAGGAGACTGAAAAGATTTGGCATGGGTCCTCAGATCCTCAAAAAGTTCTACAGCTGCACCATCGAGAGCATCCTGACTGGTTGCATCACCGCCTGGTATGGCAACTGCTCAGCCTCTGACCGCAAGGCACTACAGAGGGTAGTGTGTACGGCCCAGTACATCACTGGGGCCAAGCTTCCTGCCATCCAGGACCTCTATACCAGGCGGTGTCAGAGGAAGGCCCTCAAAATTGTCAAAGACTCCAGCCACCCTAGTCATTGACTGTTCTCTCTGCTACCACACGGCAAGCGGTACCGGAGTGCCAAGTCTGGGTCCAAAAGGCTTCTCAACAGCTTCTACCCCCAAGCCATAAGACTTCTGAACAGCTAATCATGGCTACCCAGACTATTTGCACCCCTTTTTGCGCTGCTGCTACTCTGTTAATTATTTATGCATAGTCACTTTAACTCTACCCACATGTACATATTACCTCAACTAGCCGGTGCCCCCGCACATTGACTCTGCACCGGTACCCCCCTGTATATAGCCTCCCTACTGTTATTTTATTTTACTTCTGCTCTTTTTTTCTCAACACTTTTTGTTGTTGTTTTATTTTACTTTTTTATTGAGAAATAAATGCATTGTTGGTTAAGGGCTGTAAGTAAGCATTTCACCTTTGGCAAATACATTTTGATTTGATTTTATTTGAAATCCACTTCAATCAGTGTAGATGAAGGGGAGGAGACATTTTAAAGAAGGATTTTAAGCCTTGAGACATGGATTGTGTATGTGTGCCATTCGGAGGGTGAATGGGCAAGACAAAACATTTAAGTGCCTTTGAAAGGGCTGCTGGTTTTTCACGTTCAACAGTTTCCTGTGTGTATCAAAAATGGTCCACCACCCAAAGGACATCCAGCCAACTTGACAACTGCGGGAAGCATTGGAGTCAACATGGGCCAGCTTCCCTGTGGAACGCTTTCGACACCTTGTAGAGTCCATGCCCCGACAAATTGAGGTTGTTTGGAGGGCACTCTGTGTAGTAGTGGTGATACTGTTTATATTGGCCTCCACCAGCACGCTGGTATTGGCGCGCCTGTCCTCGCAACTGATCCTCAGGATTATTCGTAAGGATATTTGGAGGTGTTGTTCCAGTGCTTTCAGGTACCTACTGTAGGTGGTCCATGCGCTCCGTATACAGTGGGGGAAAAAAGTATTTAGTCAGCCACCAATTGTGCAAGTTCTCCCACTTAAAAAGATGAGAGGCCTGTAATTTTCATCATAGGTACACGTCAACTATGACAGGCAAATTGAGAATTTTTTTTCCAGAAAATCACATTGTAGGATTTTTAATGAATTTATTTGCAAATTATGGTGGAAAATAAGTATTTGGCAACCTACAAACAAGCAAGATTTCTGGCTCTCACAGACCTGTAACTTCTTCTTTAAGAGGCTCCTCTGTCCTCCACTCGTTACCTGTATTAATGGCACCTGTTTGAAACTTGTTATCAGTATAAAAGACACCTGTCCACAACCTCAAACAGTCACACTCCAAACTCCACTATGGCCAAGACCAAAGAGCTGTCAAAGGACACCAGAAACAAAATTGTAGACCTGCACCAGGCTGGGAAGACTGAATCTGCAATAGGTAAGCAGCTTGGTTTGAAGAAATCAACTGTGGGAGCAATTATTAGGAAATGGAAGACATACAAGACCACTGATTATCTCCCTCGATCTGGGGCTCCACGCAAGATCTCACCCCGTGGGGTCAAAATGATCACAAGAACGGTGAGCAAAAATCCCAGAACCACACGGGGGGACCTAGTGAATGACCTGCAGAGAGCTGGGACCAAAGTAACAAAGCCTACCATCAGTAACACACTACGCCGCCAGGGACTCAAATCCTGCAGTGCCAGACGTGTCCCCCTGCTTAAGCCAGTACATGTCCAGGCCCGTCTGAAGTTTGCTAGAGTGCATTTGGATGATCCAGAAGAGGATTGGGAGAATGTCATATGGTCAGATGAAACCAAAATATAACTTTTTGGTAAAAACTCAACTCGTCGTGTTTGGAGGACAAAGAATGCTGAGTTGCATCCAAAGAACACCATACCTACTGTGAAGCATGGGGGTGGAAACATCATGCTTTGGGGCTGTTTTTCTGCAAAGGGACCAGGATGACTGATCCGTGTAAAGGAAAGAATGAATGGGGCCATGTATCGTGAGATTTTGAGTGAAAACCTCCTTCCATCAGCAAGGGCATTGAAGATGAAACGTGGCTGGGTCTTTCAGCATGACAATGATCCCAAACACACCGCCCGGGCAACGAAGGAGTGGCTTCGTAAGAAGCATTTAAGGTCCTGGAGTGGCCTAGCCAGTCTCCAGATCTCAACCCCATAGAACATCTTTGGAGGGAGTTGAAAGTCTGTGTTGCCCAGCGACAGCCCCAAAACATCACTGCTCTAGAGGAGATCTGCATGGAGGAATGGGCCAAAATACCAGCAACAGTGTGTGAAAACCTTGTCAAGACTTACAGAAAACGTTTGACCTGTGTCATTGCCAACAAAGGGTATATAACAAAGTATTGAGAAACTTTTGTTATTGACCAAATACTTATTTTCCACCATAATTTGCAAATAAATTCATAGAAAATCCTACAATGTGATTTTCTGGAGAAAATTTCTCATTTTGTCTGTCATAGTTGACGTGTACCTATGATGAAAATTACAGGCCTCTCATCTTTTTAAGTGGGAGAACTTGCACAATTGGTGGCTGACTAAATACTTTTTTTCCCCACTGTAGCAGTGTGAGAAAAAAAATAAAAATGTAAAAATATTTTAAATGAAGCTTATTTCTACCGAATGTGTTGTACTAATGTATTTTCTGTGAAGGAAAACTATAGTTGCATGTCCCCGATCACTCTATTGAAGCAAAAAACTTGTCATTCAATATAAAACACGACCCCTGTCAATACACAGCTGGACTCACCTGCTCCCGCTTTCAGCCATTGTGCTGTTTTTACAATCAAACTCGTGACTCGCTCAACTGTTCTGGGGAACTACTGTAAAATAATATGACAGGTGAAATTAAGAACATGATCTCCTAACGTATTGCACAAGTTGACTGAAGGTATTTACTTAAAAAGTAGCTAGAAATATTAACATTTATTGAAAAACTAGTTTCAACGGTATTGACGGTTCTGAAAAACCCTCCCGTGGCTATTTCCAAATACCCTGGTATACGGTATACCGCCCAAGCCTAGTTTGTAGGCTACTGTGAGTGTGAGCGAGTGACACGGGGAGCAGGGAGGGAGACGAGAGACTGCAACCAACCAAGCCGACTCACACTATAGTAGGGTAAAAGCTGCCATAGCTAGGTTATTTATCTTCCAATATGATTACGTAGTACCTGTCTTGACTGCATCAAACCGGGAGAAGCTAGTTAAGCTAACTAGGCTAATTGAGGCTGCATGCGCTTTCTCGTCCTGCACAGCTACAAATAACAACAACTCCATCCAGAATATTAAAAATATATATTGTAGTCCATCCTTCACCTATTAACTCCATCATTTCAATTTCATCTTCCATTGATTTGATATCTCCTAACTTCTGCCCCACATGGAGGCTCTATGACTGTAGCCTATTGCTGCTCTTATGAACAACAACAAGTTACTCGCCACTCTCGTGAAAAGAAAAAGCAGCAGTATAAATTATAAAATCTCTCTCTCTCTCGCAGCAGTCGCGTTCGGATCTGTATGGGTCCTTACGGACAAGTCAGTTAAAATTACACATACCCGAGACCCGTGACAATCATATCAAATCCGACCCAGACCTGTGACATTATTTAGAATTGTGGATCCAGACCCGCTCGGGTCCCGGATCAGGTCTCAGGTATTAAGGTACAGGTGGATCTGTGAAAGACATCTAGTGTGGTGATTATTGGTCCGGTGTCGAAGGCTTTTGTTAGGTCTATGAAGGCCTTGTTCCCGCCATTTCTCTTGTAGTTTGCGTGCTGTGAAGATCATATCTGTAGTACCTCTGGATGGGCGGAAGCCACACTGCGATTCTGGGAGTACTTCCTCAGACAGGGGCAGTAGTCAGTCAGACAGGGGCAGTAGTCAGTTGGCAAGGACACATGCAAGTACTTCTAGCTATAGGAACAGTGGTATTCCTGAATGGTATACCGGACCAATATTCCTTCCTATCATGGAGTTCTAGCTTAGGGAACTGCAGTATTCCCGACCAACATTCCTACCTCTGTCATGGAGTTCTAACAGTATTGCAAACCAACATACCTTTCACTAGGAAATATCAAAGCAGTATTCCAGGTCCTACCTGTCATGGAGTTCTCTGAGGTGCTGAGCTGTTCCCGGAGCTTGTCCACGTCGTCAGGATGCACCTGCTCATACAGCGTGCTGCCGAACCACTCCGACTGCGGGTGGTTGAGCACCGGCGTCACCGAGTCAGACACGTAGATCACGCGGCCCGTCTCCGCGGCGACCACAAACAGGAAGCCGTCGGCCGCCTCCAGGATCAGGTGCTTCAACTCCTATTAGACGAGAAGAGAAAAGAGAAACAGAACACACACGTGTGTGACGGCAGAGCAGAAACACACGTCACAGTAAAGATGAGGGATATACAGTATTGATTGACATACCATTGGTGAAAATCTGGGACAAACAGACACACACACCAAGGGCAGAGGCAGGGGGCATGACAGACAGCCTGCAAAAGCTTTATTTAATTTTTTCAAATTGATAAGATCAATATGCTGACAGGAAATTGTGTCAGCTGATATCACTCGTAGAGCTGCACAGATGAGCAGACCCCAACGTACAGAACCCAAATGTAGAGTCAAAGAGAACAGAACAAAACCAGTTCATAGACTCACCTTTTCAGTTTGGCTTTGTACTAGTCGGGCATTATTCCCCCTTATTTTTTCATTTCTAATTCCTATGTGTTTGTATTCATTTTCTGCTGCTTTTATTGCCTTCTATGTTACTGTCTTTTTATTGTTTACTTTTTAATGACTATTATTACTATTTTATTATGTACAGCACCTTGAGTTGCGGTCTATGTATGAAATGTGCTATACAAATAAAGTTGTTTTATTATTACCTGTTTGGTGAGGAGGAGGGTTTGTAGACCCTGCTAAATTACTCACACACACACACACACACACGCAAAACGCACACACACACGTGCGCGCACATCAGCCCCCATGACCAACCCACCCACAAAACACACACACACACATTGGTCGTGTTCCAGGCCGACTACATTGCAGTCATTGCATGGCATCAACCAATGGTCGTGTGCCATGTCATAGACAGCGCAGTCGGGCATCAGATTGCTATTTCATACGATGCGGTTAGCTTAAACACCCTGTGAGATCTGGTAGTCGTCTGCAATGTAGTCAGCCTGGAACGCGGCCTTCGTCACCCCCACCTATAATACCTGTTCGGTCAGGAACGAGGGCTTGTACGCCCCGTCAGTGGACGTGTTCCCGGTCCCTCTCATGGACTTCATGTGGGACACGGCCATGCGGAGGATAGTCAGCTTGTCTGGCTTGCGGGCCAGAGCGCTGCATGTGGGCACCATGTCCGACAGCTCCGTGATGTACTGCGTCATCTTGTTACGGCGACGCCGCTCTATCTCGCTGTGGTTCTCTCTGGAACAGAGAGGAGGAGTTAGACACAAAGGGGGAGGAGTCGCTGGTGGTCAGGGGGGTTAGGACACAGCTGCAGATCAGAGGGCTGTCCTTTCTAACATGACCATCCAGTGACTACCATCAGCATATACCAGTGTTTCCTCTAGCAGTGCTTAGGCAGGATGGGCTGCCAACAAAATAATTTGCCTCCATTGGTTTGAATTGGAGCTTTGGGTGTTAAAAGCTTAGTGTGTTAGTTTTGGTGCAATAAGGCAAACTTCTAGTGAACCGACTTCAAACTTGGTTGTTCAACACCTACCTATGGCTGGATACACACTTTTACTTAAACTGAACTCATTGTCAGCCATTCTTGGAGATACAGTACGTATACATACTATACATAAGAACCATAATGCTCTGTACTAGAGAAGACTGAAGGTAAGTTAGGAGAAGAGAAGTCATTCTGTTGCTTTTCAGGGTTTGAGTTTTGTCTTCTGAGGATCTAAAGAACATACAGGGATTAATGAACACAGCAGACCAGAACACAATCTCTGAGCTACGGATAGACGGGTCCTCAAGTTCTATGTTCATTTCTTTGATCATGAAAGTAATGTGTGAATAACGTACAGTGCCTTCAGAAAGTATTCATACCCCTTGACTTTTTCCACATTTTGTTGTTACAAAGTGGGATTAAAATGAATTGTCATTTTTTTCCAAAGATCTAAACAAAATACTTGGTAATGTCAAAGTGGAAGAAACATTTGTAAAATAATTCATGAAAAATAACACACTAATATATCTTCCCCCAGTGTCTGGTGGAAAGCCGACTGAACCAGGTTTTCCTCTAGGATTTTGCCTGTGCTTAGCGCCATTCATTCAGATTACAAGCATACCCATAACATGATGCAGCCACCACTATGCTTGAAAATATGGAAAGTGGTACTCAGTAATGTGTTGTATTGGATTTGCCCCAAACTTAACACTTTGTATGCAGGACAAAAAGTGAATTGCTTTGCCACATTTTTTTGCAGTATTATTTAAGTGCCTTGTTGAAAACAGGATGCATGTTTTTGAATATTTGTATTCTGTACAAGCTTCCTTCTTTTCATTCTGTCAATTAGGTTAGTATTGTGGAGTAACTACAATGTTGTTGATCCATCCTCAGTTTTCTCCTATCACAGCCATTAAACTCTGTTTTAAAGTCACCATTGGCCTCATGGTGAAATCCATGAGCGGTTTCCTTCCTCTCCGGCAACTGAGTTAGGAAGGATACCTGTATCTTTGTAGTGACTGGGTGTATTGATACACCATCTAAAGTGTAATGAATAACTTCAACATGCCCAAAGGAATATTCAATGTCTACTTAATTTTTTACCCATCTACCAATAGGTGCCCTTCTTTGCTAGGCATTGGAAAACCTCTGTGGTCTTTGTGGTTGAATATGTGTTTGAAATTCACTTCTTGACTGAGCGACCTTACAGAAAATTGTATGTGTGGGGTACAGAGGTAGTCATTCCAAAATAATCTTAAAAACTATTATTGCAGACAGAGTGAGTCCATACAACTTATGTGACAAATGTTTACTCCTGAACTTATTTAGGCTTGCCATAAGAAAGGGGTTGAATACTTATTGACTCAAGACATTTCAGCTTTTCATTTTTTATTAATTTGTACAAATTTAGACATTATGAGGTATTGTGTGTAGGCCAGTGACAAAAACATCTAAATTGAATCCAATTTTTTATTCAGGCTGACACACAACAAAATGTGGAAAAAGTCAAGGGGTGTGAATACTTCCTGAAGGCATTGTATTTCTATGTCCCAAATAGATGGTTTCCATACGAGCCTTTTTTGAGTCAGCACTAACTGAATAGGGTGCCATTTGGGAAACAACCTTCATTTCCATAGCAGAGGTCTGATGCCATAAATAATTTAGGAATATGAATTATGAATAAAATGTCAGATTAATAAATTGTAAATTATGAAGATTATGTTTGTACTCAGAGTTACTAATATAAATTAGGGAGCTTTGATAGATTTTTTAATTGGTGTGATTTACTTGAATTTGACTTGCACATTAATCAACATTGCTGTAAATGTGACAGATTGAGCCTGCTGGGTAATTGCCATCTGAAGTCTCTGGGCATTTAGGCTTTCCTTTTGACCGTATTCTATCCAAGTCTCCATAGCTCTGTGGGCCAAATTCACTCAGTGCTTGGCTGCCTGTTTGAAATGACAGTTACACCTGACATATGCATTAAGGAATGAAAGACAACTCTAAAAACATCATATTTAACAACGGCCTTTTATCCATTCCTAACAGTTAGTGTTTTTAAAAAATGCATGTAGTGTTTTATTCACTGGTGAAAAGAGCAGGTGTAACCTGGTGCCTCTGTAAACGTTAGGTAAGTGTTTTAGTCAAGCCCTGGGAGGTTGGGTGAGTCAGTGAAATCCTGTGGAGCTCTAGCAGGCCAGGCCTACCTGGCATATCTCTCCTTATGATCACCAGGTATCTGATCATCATCATACCTAGAGAGAGGAGCAGAGAAGAAACACAGCATGTAACACCTGGGACACCACTCACTGAGACGCAAACACCTGAACACAGTAGCATAACGAGGGTAGCCTGACACACCCTAACACAGTAGCCTGAACACGGTAGCCTAAACAGGTAGCCTGAACACAGTAACCTGAGAACAGTAGCCTGAGAACAGTAGCCTGAGAGGGTAGACTGAACACAATACCCTGAACATGGTAGCATGAACACAGCATGAACATGGTAGCCTGAACACACCCTAACACAGTAGCCTGAACATGGTAGCCTGAACACACCCTAACACAGTAGCCTGAACACAGTAGCCTGAATACACCCTAACACAGTAGCCTGAACACAGTAGCCTGAACACACCCTAACACAGTAGCCTGAACACACCCTAACACAGTAGCCTGAACATGGGATGACACACATGTAGAATTAGAATGATACACATGCTATTTATGGTCTTTAAAAAGAGGTTGATATTTTGATGAGAGCGACATGCACAGGACAGGTAATGGGTGTTCTGGCAGAAAATGTCCATGCGTTGTATTAAGTGGCTGTAAAAGTGCTAACTATTCCCTTTGTAGTGCACTACTTTTGACCAGAGCCATATGGGCTCGGTACTCTCTGGACTCTAAGAAGGTCTAGGGAGTGCCCTTACTAGAGTGGATTAGACAGGGGAGAGCTGCTAAGTATTGTTAGAAACATAGTCCGTTTTGGTCACATCTAGAGGGCAATCAAGTACTATGTATATTTTGTGTGCAGTCAAAATGAAACTTGAAAAATTTGACTCCCCATGGCCTGGTAAGGTATGGAGTAACAAGTCAACATGGGACTTCCCATGGCCTGGTAAGGTATGGAGTAACATGTCAAAATGGGACTCTCCATGGCCTGGTAAGGAATGAAGTAACATGTCAACATGGGACTCTCCATGGCCTGGTAAGGAATGAAGTAACATGTCAACATGGGACTCTCCATGGCCTGGTAAGGAATGAAGTAACATGTCAACATGGGACTCTCCATGGCCTGGTAAGGTATGGAGTAACAAGTCAACATGGGACTCTCCATGCCCTGGTAAGGTATGGAGTAACATGTCAACATGGGACTCTCCATGGCCTGGTAAGGAATAAAGTGACAAGAGACTTTCAGAAGGTGTGTGAGAACACTATTTATAATAAGCTGTGACATGCTGGATGTCTGCAACAAAAGCCCACAATTTATCAATGTGGTATTTTTTGTAAATATGCTCTGGTTGCTTGGTAGGCTCTTCTCATCAGCTTTAAAATGAGAGACTTAGTAATGTGGTAGAGGTAGTAAGTAGTGCGTTTCTCATTATATAAAACATGCTGTTGTAGTTTATCCTCTCCCCAGCAGAGGGCATTGTCTCCACTCCACTAAAAGAGACCACTGCTGCCAGAGAACTCTTGATAAATCTGAGAGAACACAGAATAGAGAGGAAAAACCACACGTTGGAGAAAAACAAAACGTGAGAGAATGCCTGTGGGTGGAACGAGAGCTGAAGCTGCTTTTGAGGAACAAAAAAAGTTGTTAAACTGATCAAAAATGATAAAAACGCTTGAAAATATGAAACAATGGGTTTGGTAAATGTGATTGAATGTCCATAAGCACTAAGATGACAACAAGGAGAGATTGTACAAAATATGGAATTCTGTATAATAATCACTCATCATAACACCAACTTCAAGTCTAGAACTTGACTGCTTCTCATAGAAATAGTTATTTGTTACGACAATGAGACTGACTCTTAGTACATGGAAATATCAGTGGGCCATCTTTCACTGTTCTTACCTTGAAAATTTACTAGGTCCTTCCCCATCCTCGTCATCAAAGTCCATCCTGCAATCAGAGACCACAACAGTTACTCATCTAGTCTAGGGTGTGTGTGTGTGTGTATGTATGTATGTATGTGTATGTACGTGTGTGTGCTGCTACACTGTTTTATGGCTGTATGGTTGTATTTTCCTGCTGAGGGAAATTAGCTTGACAGCCAACTCTTTCTAACTTTCTAATTCAGTGGACACAAAAGAGAAAACATTTTCAAACAGAGGAGCTACTACAATGAGAACGCTTATTTCCTCCCCTGCCCCTACTGAACAATGAGAACGCTTATTTCCTCCCCTGCCCCTACTGAACAATGAGAACACTTATTTCCTCCCCTGCCCCTACTAAACAATGAGAACGCTTATTTCCTCCCCTGCCCCTACTGAACAATGAGAACGCTTATTTCCTCCCCTGCCCCTACTGAACAATGAGAACGCTTATTTCCTCCCCTGCCCTTACTGAAATATGAGAACGCTTATTTCCTCCCCTGCCCCTACTGAACAATGAGAACGCTTATTTCCTCCCCTGCCCCTACTGAACAATGAGAGCACTTATTTCCTCCCCTGCCCCTACTGAACAATGAGAACACTTATTTCCTCCCCTGCCCCTACTGAACAATGAGAACGCTTATTTCCTCCCCTGCCCCTACTGAACAAGGCCCTGGTGCAACAGCACCACATAAATTGTGAAATGCATCGTCACTGCCAAACAGATAAATAAATGAATCGATTTCCCTCGACTCTAAGACTAAGTCCCAATTAGCACTTTTCCCCTATAGCGCACTACTTTTGGACTAGGGTCCATGGGCCCTGCGGTTGACATGTTATGATGAAAACACTACAACTCAACTTCACTGAGACACATTTGATTAAAGAGTATCAAAAACCTTAAGATACGGCTACATTTCATATGTATTTTCTGACGCAGCATTTCACCATTATTTTCTTACGTAGCATTTCAGTACATTACAAAGTTGCTGTTAACACAACATGTAATAGTAAGCAAGTGTGTCAAGAAACGATACAACATAAGAAGAAATCATAACTTTAACACGACTGTTTTAGTCAAGTGAGTCAACACACTGAATGGACAAACATGTCAGAATGACAAACTGTTCAAGAGGTGTTATGTCTTTGTAATGTAAAGCACTTTGTGTTGTTTGCCTTTTAAATGAACAGCACTATAGAAATAAAATGTATTGTTATTATTAAAAAGGTACTAGCGTGGGAAGTGCAAACCGCTGAGGCCGCCTCTGTAGCTGAAAGGTTGCCATGCCAATAGTGATGACTCGTCCAGTGTGGCGTTTTTCAATCTCACCTCACGCCTCTCTGTATCTAACTGACTACTGCATTGACCTGTGATGTCTTGATACAGCGATCTGTTGATAACAGACACGCTTTGTTCTGTGTGTGTGTGTGTGTGTGTGTGTGTGTGTGTGTGCGCGTGAGTGCTTGTGTGTGTGCGCACACGTGTGTCAAAGCAATGTACAACAGTACATTTCATGTAATCTGATGACTGATTAGATAGAGCATATATGACTGAGATTGTGAATGATTCTTAGGTTTGACTGAATTCAGCCTCCGGTCGAGTTCCCACCTGATCACGGACCAAGGTAGAGTTAAATAGAGGGCCAGTTATTGTTAGAACAGAGGTATAAAGGAACACACAGAGTCACTGAGGAGTGGCATTATGAGTGGAGTGCTCAGTAATTACAGCCGTCACCTTAATGCCATAGTCTGTGATAATAATCTTCTTTCTCCCACTCATTCTTCTGATAATAGTAGAAGTGCTGATGAGTATTTCTGTCTGTCTCTGTATTCCTAAGTATCACTGTCTCTGTCTGTCTGCCTGCCTGTCGTTCTACCCGTCTGTCACATGCAGTCCCTCAGTGGTGTGGCTTGCCACATTCAACGGCTCTTTCTCAACTGTCTTTCCTCGATTCCCCGCGTCCTCACTCCTTGCCTCCTTCTCAAAACGCATTGGAGGAGAGAAGGTCTCAGGGGAGGGACCTCGGATCTTCTCCTCCAGTTAGAGGGAGGTGAGAAGAGAGGACGTGAGGACACAGAAAGAGCCTACACAGACTAACATGTCTGATAGGGGAGGTAATGCAGTATGTATGGTTATGTCTGATAGGGGAGGTAATGCAGTATGCATGGTTATGTCTGATAGGGGAGGTAATGCAGTATGTATGCATGGTTATGTCTGATAGGGGCGGTAATGCAGTATGTATGCATGGTTATGACTGATAGGGGAGGTAATGCAGTATGCATGGTTATGTCTGATAGGGGAGGTAATGCAGTATGCAGGGTTATGTCTGATAGGGGAGGTAATGCAGTATGCAGGGTTATGTCTGATAGTAGATGTAATGCAGTATGCATGGTTATGTCTGATAGTAGAGGTAATGCAGTATGCATGGTTATGTCTGATAGTAGAGGTAACGCAGTATGCAGGGTTATGTCTGATAGTAGATGTAATGCAGTATGCAGGGTTATGTCTGATAGTAGAGGTAATACAATATGCATGGTTATGCCTGATGTAATACAGTATGCATACAGCATGCTTCCACTGAGCATAAGCCTATCTCAGTGAACATTGAGGATCATTCCTCTGTGTTAGTATATGTTGTTGACTGTCTTAGTCAGGCTCCTACTGGAAATGACATGTTGCGTCTCCAGTTTTTAGTTTTTATCCACAAACATTAATGTAAGGAGTAAATAAGAGATGCCCTGGACAGGTCCCTGTTGTGTTCCCTGTGTCATGTCGAGTTGCCATATTGCCTGGATGGCTTTTGCTTTAATTTGTTCATGTTTGTGTAGGCTAGATGTATAATGGATATGTTGTTGTATAGGCAAAATGCCAGGGCATGGGGTAAATACGTCCTGATTTTGCCCCGGTGGATAACGTACCGTGGAATACTCCCGTAATCTTCTTTTCCCTCTGTCTTCGACCTGAGAGTGTTTTTTTAATCATACATGCAGCTATATGAGATTAATGTTTCCTTTTTCGGTGTCACTATGTCAAACTATCATACATTGTATATCTCTGACATTGTGTTACCCTGTCCTGCTAATAAAACTTGTTTGAAATTCAACATTGGAATATTGGCCTGTGTGCTTGCTCTGTGTTTTGTTATCTGTGCCTGAAGTTCCGCTCATTGGAATAATTAAGCAATTTAATTCAATTCTATTGATATTTGGTCTTGGGAGAAACATGGAATACTGTTGGTATACAGGTGTAATACTACTGGAACACCAGTGGAATAGACTTGTGGGTAAAATGCAGATATAAAATAGTACTCACCCTCCGGATCTCCTCTTGCCCCCGCGGCCAGGCATGGCTCCGCCCATCCTCACTTGGCCTGCCCCCACCACCGCCCCCGGCATAGTAACTGGCCCCGGCAACTCACTGCCCATCTCTGGAACAGACGACAGAGAAAGGTACCACATGAGAACATGGCATTAGACATTGTGACTGTATGACAGCAGCATTAATATTACTCTGAAAGCGTGGACATTGCCAAATGTGGTACCTGAACCGCCAAAAGAGCATGCCATGGTGGCTTTTCAGTTGTTTTCAATGTAGCCTAAACACAGTCTGTTTTGGGACACAGAAATACTGAATATGGAGCTCTGTGTCGTGCTGGGTGGTGAGCTGAAACACATTGCGTGCCAAATCACAATTTCTCTCTCTGTGCCTTTCCTTCTCCCAGGCCTACTAACTCACCCTCCCTCCCTCCCTTCCTTCTCTCTGGTCTACTCACTCACTCCTTCAGCCAGATGTTATGGATAGGCCAAATCAAATCTTATTTGCCACATGCGCCGAATACAACAGGTGTAGACCTTACAGTGAAATGCTTACTTACAAGCCCTTAACCAACAATGCAGTTTAAACAAACCCCCTCCTCTGCCCCAGTGCTCCCAGCAGTTCTGTTAATATTTCATACAAGCTAGCGTTCCCCCTCTCCTCTCCTCTTCCTCCTCTCCCGCTCTTCCACTACCCTCTCCTTCCCTCTGTCTTGGAAAACCCCCAGCTGCAATGCAGACCCCAGTAAAGAACCAAATAATTAATTAATTCATGAAGTAGCCTAGACCTATATAAACACCACACAACACTTAGCCTAGACCTATATAAACACCACAACACTTAGCCTAGACCTATATAAACAACACAATACTTAGCCTAGACCTATATAAACAACACAGCACTTAGCCTAGACCTATATAAACACCACACAACACTTAGCCTAGACCTATATAAACAACACAACACTCATACACACATAATAACTAGTGATCAGGAGGTGTGCAGCCAGACAGGGGCTGGAGTAGTATGGCGTACTGTGGTTCTAGGTGAGAACACAGTGTCTGGCTACACAGGGCTGGAGTGGACAGCCAGGAACACAGTGTCTGGCTACAGGAGGCTAGGGCTGAGAGGACTGCCAGGGTCACAGCGTCTGGCTACAGGAGGCTAGGGCTGAGAGGACTGCCAGGAACACAGCGTCTGGCTACAGGAGGCTAGGGCTGAGAGGACAGCAAGTAACACAGCGTCTGGCTACAGGAGGCTAGGGCTGAGAGGACTGCCAGCAACACAGTGTCTGGCTACAGGAGGCTAGGGCTGAGAGGACTGCCAGGAACACAGTGTCTGGCTACACAGGGCTGAGAGGACTGCCAGCAACACAGCGTCTGGCTACAGGAGGCTAGGGCTGAGAGGACTGCCAGGAACACAGCGTCTGGCTACAGGAGGCTAGGGCTGAGAGGACAGCAAGTAACACAGCGTCTGGCTACAGGAGGCTAGGGCTGGAGAGGACTGCCAGGGTTTCCCCTATCATTACTTAGGAGGAGCACCACCATGCCTAGTACCAGCATTCCCTGTGTAGCCTAATCTTTCAGCATACTTCCTCAATCCACCCAAAGAGGTCATAATATCACTGGTTCTCACAACATAACACAACAAACATGGATTACAGCCTATCGAATAACCTGACAAATAGGTTTGTTACTGGGATAGGAGGAGATTAATGCATTCTGTAATTTGGCTTTAATGAGCAAAAAAATGGTCTTTGCTAAAAAATAAAAAATAAAATGCAATGTTTTTAGATTTGTGGGAAGTAGTTAATGAACATACTCTTCGGGAGAAAGGTAATAATAATCAGTTCATTCTGTTCCATGCTTCTCTTCACATGGCAACTCTATATGCAGCCACGGTGCTGTTAACATCCTAGTTCTTTATTTATTATACTTAATTTACATTTCCAATGAGAGAGAGAGAGAGAGAGAGAGAGAGAGAGAGAGAGAGAGAGAGAGAGAGAGAGAGAGAGAGAGACCTGCTGTTGTGGTTAATATGGGAAATGACAGTAAATCAGTAAATCTAAAATCAATTTCTTATTAAATGTTTTTGGCAGTAGAACAGTTGGTTTCAATAATCCATTAGTGTACACGAAATACATTAGGCCTAGGCTAAACAGAGCAAATAGAACTGGAGTGTATGCACATTAGGAAACGTAAGATTTAGGCCTATTTTTAGAGTATTATTTTTTCAACACACAAGGCGAAGGCCACATTCCATAGCCTACACATATTTGATGACAAGCAGCAATTCAGCAAAGCGTATATAAACCATTATTTGCCTTCCTCTAAATGTTTTGCTTCTATATCACTACCAAACTTGTATCACTGCCCAGAATTGATTATATTAATAAGAGCGCCAGCGATATAACTGCACCTCAGCATTGTAGCCTAGTACTTCCGCATAATAGAGTAAACATTTAACAAAAAAGTTTCGCTGTGTGTACATTTATTTGCTCAGTAACAATGTAAAATGTAAATGTAAAAATTTAACAACGTAATGGCTACATAACAGCAACAATGTAACTCCTTTGTGACTGTCATTACATGACAAATTGAGCTTCAAAGTTCAATCATAGACAAATGTAACTTATATCTTTCAACAGGCAAATAGGCAGATAAAGGTAATTATTTTACTGGTCATGCAAATAGACTAGCTAGACCACTACTAGTTAGTTTGGCCATTCAAAAAAAAAACTTTAACTTCTCCCCAAATAACATTGAGTAAAGAAAGCCAGCCTTCAAAAGTGTTGTTAGCACCTAGCAAGCTGCAGATTTAATCTATCTAATGACTATCGAATCAACCGACGATGGAGAGGGACCAACAAATCGCTGTCACCAGTGACAAACATCGAAATGATTCGATTCAAATAGCCCGAGATAACGTCGATGAACCAAGGGCTCGGATATGCAAAATAACCTTTGTATCGCGAAGGGGACTGACTATTCAGTGAAATCAGAGCACGTAAATTAGCAGCGGCTAGCTAGCTGCCTGTTGGATGGAGCCAACACGCAACCAGCATCTAATTTTGCAGATAATAAATGCAAGACATTTAAAGCTTCTGCCCCTATCATAGGCTGTTTGTGTGAAAATAATGGTCGTATGTTCACGCTAAAATGAAGAAAATGCGTTTATAAGTGTACAGAAAGTGTTTTGAGGCTGCCATAGCTAAGTGGGGGAAGGGGATGCTGTGGAGAGCTTGAGCTCTGTGATCCTGACGTTGGCGTCTTGAGCTAAGCGCCTCGGCTTTCCATTTCGGTAAATGTCAAAAATACATTTTGCGTTTCCAAGATATAAAGCGCAGTTTTTAACACCATTAAAACCCCACTGTTAAAATCGCGACTTACCCGATGGATTGACCGCGGCGGGAGTTGCCATGTTGCCTCGATGAAAAAACAAAATGCAGCTATGAAAATGACGCACGATACGGCTCGAGAGCCCGGGGAGAGACAATCCACTCAGGAGTTTGGGACACGAGCTCTCGGTTCAGCCACCTATAGCCTAACATGCATTAGGTCGAAATACAAATAACCCACGAATATCGACAATAACGGCCCTGTTATTTTGGGTTCGCTTGGCCCGATGAAGCCAACGGTATTTAATAAATTCGTTCTTTCAGACTGAAAAATGCAAGATGTCTGAAAGGAGTCTAAACACCGCGAGACTTCACTTGAATGAATTATGTGTAGGCTATATCTTTGCTTTGAGTCAAATTAAGCTTTGAAAGATGAAAAGTAAGCTAATGTCAGTGAGATGGAGTAGCCTAACATACTTTGCCAATATTTACTTATTGAATCGTGGTCCTATCATTCATATAGAATATAATAGAACAGCCAAACCAAGTAGGCTAAAATTGAATCCCAAATAGGCCAAATGTTTGCTTTGTAAACATATATGGTGCCTCAACAGCATTTGTAAAAGATCTTATGCTTTTTCACCATTTTATCATTGTCAAACTAGGAGATGGAAATGAGAACTAGCTACATGTGTTTGATGTGAAGATCAATCCACTTGAGATGCATAGAGGACATGACTTCCAATGTCACAGAGCATTTTAACTTGATGAATCCACAGGGTATTCTTTCAGAATCTGCACAAACCAGCAAGATTCTGGGAATAGGTGATCTAAAATCTAGGCCGTTCTCAAGATTCCACCCATCCTGATTTCACTCACAATGTTCGCTTTTGTTTTTCAATGTATGTTTTCATTTTGTCAATAGGGTTATGCTTGCAATTTGATGTGCAAAATGCAACACAGCTGACGACAGCGGAAAGTACAGTCGTGGTCAAAAGTTTTGAGAATGACACAAATATTAATTTTCACAAAGTCTGCTGCCTCAGTTTTTATGATGGAAATTTGCATATACTCCAGAATGTTATGAAGAGTGATCAGATTAATTGCAGTTCATTGCAAAGTCCCTCTTTGCCATGAAAATGAACTTAATCCCCCAAAAACATTTCCACTGCATTTCAGCCCTGCCACAAAAGGACCAGCTGACATCATGTCAGTGATTCTCTCGTTAACACAGGTGAGAGTGTTGATGAGGATAAGGCTGGAGATCACTCTGTCATGCTGTTTGAGTTAGAATAACAGACTCAAATCAAATCAAATTTTATTTGTCACATACACGTGTTTAGCAGATGTTATAGCGGGTGTATTGAAATGCTTGTGCTTCTAGCTCCGACAGTGCAGTAATATCTAACAATTTCACAACATATACCCAATACACACAAAACTAGTAAGGAATGGGATTTAAGAATATATACATATATGGACAAGCAATGACAGAGCGGCATGGACTAAGATACAGTAGAATATTATAGAATGCAATATATACATATATGAGTAGTGCAAGATATGTAAACATTGTTAAAGTGACTAGTGTTCCATTTCTTAAAGTGGCCAGTGATTTCAATAGGCAGCAGCAGCCTCTAATGTGCTAGTGATGGCTATTTAACAGTCTGATAGCCTTGAGATAGAAGCAGTTTTTTATTCTCTTGGTCCCAGCTTTGATGCATCTGTACTGACCTCGCCTTCTGGATGATAGCGGGGTGAACAGGCAGTGGCTCTGGTGGTTGATGTCCTTGATGATCTTTTTGGCCTTCCTGTGACATCGAGTGTTGTATGTGTCTTGGAGGGCGGGTAGTTGCATTCAACAGACCGCACCACCCTCTGGAGAGCCCTGCGGTTGTGGGTGGTGCAGTTGCCGTACCAGGCGGTGATACAGCCCGACAGGATGCTCTCAATGTGCATCTGTAAAAGTTTGTGAGGGTTTTAGGTGCTAAGCCGAATTTCTTCAGCCTCCTGAGGTTGAAGAGGCTCTGTTGCGCCTTCTTCACTACACTGTCTGCGTGGGTGGACCATTTCAGTTTATCAGTGATGTGTACGCCAAGGAACTTGAAGCTTTCCACCTTCTCCACTGCGGTCCTGTCGATGTGGATAGGGGGGTGCACCCTCTGCTATTTCCTGAAGTCCACGATCATCTCCTTTGTTTTGTTGATGTTGAGTGAGAGGTTATTTTCCTGGCACCACACTCCCAGAGCCCTCACCCCCTCCCTGTAGGCGGTCTCGTCATTGTTGGTAATCAAGCCTACTACTGTTGTGTTGTCTGCAAACTTGATGATTGAGTTGGATGCATGCTTGGCCACGCAGTCATGGGTGAACAGGGAGTACAGGAGGGGGCTGAGCACGCACCCTTGTGGGGCCCCAGTGTTGAGGATCAGCGAAGTGGAGATGTTGTTTCCTACCTTCACCACCTGGGGGCGGCCCGTCAGGAAGTCCAGGACCCAGTTGCACAGGGCGGGGTTCAGACCCAGGGCCTCGAGCTTAATGATGAGCTTGGAGGGTACTATGGTGTTGAATGCTGAGCTATAGTCAATGAACAGCATTCTTACATAGGTATTCCCCTTGTCCAGATGGAATAGGGCAGTGTGCAGTGTGATGGCGATTTGCATCGTCTGTGGATCTATTGGGGCGGTAAACAAATTAAAGTGGGTATAGGGTGACAGGTAAGGTAGAGGTGATATGATCATTGACTAGTCTCTCAAAGCACTGGAAGCTTTAAAAGGAGGGTGGTGCTTGAAATCATTGTTCTTCCTCTGTTAACCATGGTTACCTGCAAGGAAACACGTGCCGTCATCATTGCTTTGCACAAAAAGGGCTTCACAGGCAAGGATATTGCTGCTAGTAAGATTGCACCTAAATCAACCATTTATCGGATCATCAAGAACTTCAAGGAGAGAGGTTCAATTGTTGTGAAGAAGGCTTCAGGGCGCCCAAGAATGTTCAGCAAGCGCCAGGACCGTCTCCTAAAGTTGATTCAGCTGCGGGATCGGGGCACCACCAGTGCAGAGCTTGCTCAGGAATGGCAGCAGGCAGGAGTGAGTGCATCTGCACGCACAGTGAGGCGAAGACTTTTGGAGGATGGCCTGGTGTCAAGAAGGGTAGCGAGGAAGCCACTTCTCTCCAGGAAGAACATCAGGGACAGACTGATATTCTGCAAAAGGTACAGGGATTGGACTGCTGAGGACTGGGGTAAAGTCATTTTCTCTGATGAATCCCCTTTCCGATTGTTTGGGACATCCGGAAAAAAGCTTGTCCGGAGAAGACAAGGTGAGCACTACCATCAGTCCTGTGTCAGGGCTCACTCACAATTTTGCCTAAGAACACAGCCATGAATAAAGAATGGTACCAACACATCCTCCGAGAGCAACTTCTCCCAACCATCCAAGAACAGTTTGGTGACGAACAATGCCTTTTCCAGCATGATGGAGCACCTTGCCATAAGGCAAAAGTGATAACTAAGTGGCTCGGGGAACAAAACATCGACATTTTGGGTCCATGGCCAGGAAACTCCCCAGACCTTAATCCCATTGAGAGCTTGTGGTCAATCCTCAAGAGGCGGGTGGACAAACAAAAACCCACAAATTCTGACAAACTCCAAGCATTGATTATGCAAGATCTCAGGATGTGGCTCAGAAGTTAATTGACAGCATGCCAGGGTGGATTGCAGAGGTCTTGAAAAAGAAGGGTCAACACTGCAAATATTGACTCTTTGCATAAACTTAATGTAATTGTCAATAAAAGCCTTTGACACTTATGGAATGCTTGTAATTATACTTCAGTATACCATAGTAACATCTGACAAAAATATCTAAAAACACTGAAGAAGCAAACTTTGTGAAGACCAATACAATACCAATACTTGTGTCATTCTCAAAACTTTCCTCCAAAAGATAAAAAAGGAAGATAACTTTGGGTGTAGGTTTTCAAGTAGGCCTATCTGTAGGCCTAATCGAGGAAGGAGACGTTCTGTTTCACGTGAGTTACACATAGTTACTGTGTTACACCAATCATTTCAAACTACATGTATGTACAGATGGTATCTGTGACCATTATATTGATTGTGTCAAAGGAGGATTTGTTAATTGTAGGCCTATTTCCATTTCAAACATAACCCCCAAGAGTCTAAACCAGGGGGGTTCTACTAAGCTAACATATGGAATTGTTTTAAGATGGTCATACCAAGGATAATTTAGCTATTTGATTTTGAATTTTAGGACCCCTTTAGGTATAACTTTTTTTCAAAATAAAAATATTAACAGATATATATATCAAAAGGAAGTTTGTTTTGAAGTGTCTGTCCTATATCTGAGAGATATAAAAAAGATCAGGATTCTTTTTTTTTGTTGTTGACATATTTAACCCTTTTTTAGGCACAAACTAATTCAATATACATGTACTTCCATTCATTTTTTAAACTGGTACCGCGCTACCTTTAGACAAGGCTTGTAAGGCTTGTGGGCGTCCTAGAGCAGAACAACTGATATGTACTGTACGTGTTCATGGGATTCTCACCTTTCCATAGAGGGGACATAGTTTGACCGCCAAACTGTTCCGACGCTACCAGAAGTTGGTACCAGACTTCAGACGAGTCCCATGACGTTTGTGGGGGTCGTAGAGCAAAACGGAGAGCAACATCGTGTCCGTGAGAGTCATATTTTTCAGTTTTGTAGGCCAAACCGTTTGGATTATTTTGTTTAATATTTAAAGGCCTACTCATGTTTAAAACTACTGTAATATAGTGTAGCTGTTGCAGCCTTAGTAAATGTTGACCACAACTGTGTGAAATATCCTAATGCTTTCCTAGTTTGAATGAACCTGTTGTAAGAGTGTCTGCAGCTCTGTGCCTGTATCATTAATTAATACAGCCCCCATTAGTTTATCACCTGCTTCTGGCAGAGGTAATGTACGGCCAATGAAGAATACACACACACACACAGGCAAAGGCACACCTAACTGCTCAGTTTTTTATCATGATCTCAAAATACGGAAAGGAGTAGAAGAGAAGAGATAGAAAGAATCTAACTAATCTTTCTAGATTACATTTAAAGTTTTCCTCTCCATTCCATACACTGAGTGTACAACACATTAGGAATACCTGCTCTTTCCATGACATAGACTGACCAGGTGAAAGATATGATCCATTATAGATAAAGGGGAGGAGACAGATTAAAGAAGGATGGGCCAGCATCCCTGTGGAACACTTTCGACACCTTGTAGAGTCCATGCCCCGACGAATTGAGGCTGTTCTGAGGGCAAAAGGGTGTGCAAGTCAATATTAGGAAGGTGTTCCTAATGTTTTGTACACTCTGTGTAGTACCATTGCAAAGTTTAAAATAGGATATTTTTTCC